GATATGCATAACAAATGAAAGCAAATTGAAACTGAAACCGAAGCCTGGTTTATTGATTTGCTCGGGTATTTAAATTTTAGTTAAACATTTGTTTTAAGCCTTAAACCGATTTGCTGCGGCTTATCAACTGGGCTCAACAATTATTTTGCGCAATTAAATTGGCATTGACAATGCTTTAAATGCATTTCGAAACGGGGCAAAAATTGATTTACTGGCATTTGTTTATCGGCAAATTGTGCGAGTGATTGCACAATTAAAAGCTACAATTGTTAACAATTAATTTGATTTATTTTATTTTTTAATTGCATCTATTCAGACTTATGCACGCCTCTGCTGCCCAATTTGTGGCAAGCTGCAGCCGCAATCATTAGGGCTTCTGTCAAGCCCTTGACTGGATGCATTGACGCCGCCCGGCCGGCCGGGCTATGCATATCAGTTTATCAAGCCGTCAGTCACACATTCAACATCGCGCTGACAGTTGCTGTGGATGCCACACTGTGCTACATGTGGCACATTTTCCACAGCGCTTCATTATGCGCATTTCCGGCTGACTCCCCACATGCCTTGCCAGCCCTGGCCAGGCAAGGCAGCTTTCCTTCCTTCCGTTCAGCCGCCTGGTGCAGGTATAACGACACGACAACACATGCCAGGCATTCTACAGCTCCTGCTCCCACTCCTGCCCCAGCTCCAGCTCCTCTGCGGCATTTTGTGCTGCATTCTTGTGGGCGTTGGCGTGGGCGTGGGCGTGGGCATGCACTTGGTTGCGCTCGCATGCCACAACAATGCCGCACTATAGAATAATAATAGTGAGTGTTTGGTTTCTGATGGGCGGCGCCGTTGACCTATCACATGGCTATGTCACAACTTTTTGACATGCTCGTGTACTTGACCTGCCAGCCGGGCGCATATATGGGGCCTGGGGCCCATGTAATGGCTGCTATTTGGGCAACCTTAGAGGCGGCTATTAGGAGATTTTGACACCTTCATAATTAAAAGTTTATACTGTTTGCACATTTTACACGAATAACAACTTTAATTAAATCTGAACAACGATGTTCGGGTGCGATCGAGTGCATATCTATTGGCTCTGGCTGGCATAGCTGAAGGTTAAAGTATGCAGCTATGTTCAAAATGAATAATAAACAGAAAGTAAGGGCATCTTCGGCATGCCGAAGGCTAATACCCTTGTAGAAATTTCCCTTTTGTATGTGATTATAGTGGAGCTTGATGAAGGAGTGTGAGGAAAATAAGGAAAACTGAATATTTGGCCATATAAGAAACTTTCTTTTCCACCTATTTATATATCGATGTTGAGGAGATGTTGCTTAAAAGAATCTACTTTTCAACCGATCGTTCCTATGTCAGCTATGATATATAGTGATGATATAGTGCTCCGATCCATATGGTTGTCACACATGTACTGCTTGATACAGAAGGACGGACATATACAAGACTTAATAACGATAGCCTTAAAAACTGAGAGACTAGTTCTAATAGAAACAGACAGACAGACGGACAGACAGACGGACAGACAGACGGACAGACAGACGGACAGACAGACGGACAGACAGACGAACAGACAGACGGACAGACAGACGGACAGACAGACGGACAGACAGACGGACAGACAGATATACAGACAGATGGACAGATGCTGATCTCAAATATATATACTTTATGGGTAAGGAGATGCATTCTTCTATACGTTACACATTAATTGACAAAATTATAATACCCTCTACAAATACACAAAAAATATAATCGCAGCATTACAGTAAATGTCCACCTGAACTCTCCACTTCCACTTCCAATTCAGCTTACAGATCGCCAAATTTACCAAAATAATAAATATTCCCAGACACACATTTTAAGCTGCAATGAAATACAACTTTCTCATGCTGCGCCGCCGCCCCAAAAATATAAACTATCAAGCACCATAACTATGGCTAATTGCGAGCGGAAATAAGTAAACAGAACTGAACTCGCATCTAATGCACAGTTCAAGTGATTAACCCAATTGATGCATAAACAGATAGCTGCAGCAGCGGCAGGCTTTGGCCATTTGGGCATTGTTTATAAAGTTGGCCCAATGAATAAGCCGAAGCGAAGTTAATTAATTGCAGCAGCCAACGACAGTTGCAGGGGCAGCGTTTACCGGCAGGTGGTCAGCGCGGGCCGGAAGGGTGCGGTGGGGGGGTGGTGACTGTGATGGGCCGCCCAGGCAGGCGCCACTAACTAGTTTTTTTTTTTTGCTCTTCCGCCCGCTGCTGTGCGGCCCCAAACAACAAATGAAAATAGAACTTTAATTAAGGCAGAAGCAGAGGGGAAATAAAATATGCCCATAGTTGAATAAAGAAAATAGTTGCAACGCCCGCAACGCCCCCCACACACACACACAGAGAGAGAGAGAGAAATGTTCATATGCAAAACAGCGGGTTGTCTGCAACTATTTAAAGACGCGCTGCAGTTGCCCTCATTCTACAGACATCTAGTATATATTTAGTATATATACGAGTGTGGAGGCTGCTTTAAGCCAGGCAGAAGAGATGCGAGACTGACAGTTCACAGCCCAAAGGCCCACTTGCTTCTAAGGTTGTTGTCGCTTGTTCTTATTGTTGTTGTTGTTGTTGCCTTCCTGCCTGCATTTAATAGCCTTAAAGCACATACATATGTGTATGTTGGTTGTGTTGCACAAGTTTTGTTAGCTAATGATAACAGCAACAGAAATAAAAACTAACATAAAAAAGCTGCGTGCTGTTGAGCAAACACAAAGGCTGCGTTGGCGCGGCGTTGTCTGTTCGCAAGTATTTGAGGAGCCGAGCTGAATACAGTTGAGAACTCCACTCTGCTCTCGGCTTGTGGAACTTTAAGATGATGTCAGGCATTAATCGAATTTCGGCAGCCAGCTGGAACATAACTCAATGTATTTAATTTAATTAAACAGACACATTCAGGCCATAACTACTAAGGACTCCCATGTCTGAGCCACTGGCAGATTCTATTAGGGAAAATAATTAATGAATTCATCAGCGCTGAGTGCAGTCGTTACACTCGAAGCCAGCGCCTGTTGAAAGCACTTTCATAGCTAAGGCCTAGATATCTGGCATAGGCGCCTAAAGTTGGCCAAAACTAACATGTGAGCACTTTAGGGGTTTGAAAGCTCAAGTAGCCATGCTGAAGCCAAGAGCTCCAGCCTGAGCCACTGCACAATGATGTTATGATGATGAATGCATCAGTAAATGAGCAACAGAAAGGGAGGCGCAAAATTAGACAGAGAGAGACGGAGAGAAAGAGAGTGAAAGTAAGAGTTGGAGTATAGGCAGCATTAACTTTTATTAGAATATAAGCCCAACTTTTTAAATCAACACACTTACACACTGCATGAGTATGCAAGGGCTTACTTGAATTCATGAGAATCGCAGAGTAAGGCGATGTTTAAATATGCATTTTTTCTGCCAAACATAATCTGTGTGGCATGCAACTTAAGCATAAGCTGATTATTGAAAAAAGCGAACAATTAAAAAATGTGTTCTGTTTTCCCATTATTTCCCATTAAGGACTTTTATACTTCAGTGCAATTCCACTTAGTTGCCATAGAGCTGTAGCTCAATCCAGTTTCACACATTTCTTATTTAAGCTTAATTTGAGTCTTTCATTATTTGGCTGAGCTTTCCTTGGGCACACAACGACAACGACAACGACAGCGTCTGCCTGTTGTGGCCTTTATGACGCATACGCCCCGTTGGCAGTTGCACCTTGAAAATTCTGCTGTCCTGGCCCGAACTTTTGGCCCTGCTCCAAACGTGCACAATTATGAAATGTGCTCTCTTCTTCTTTTGTTGAACCAAAACTTTTTTGCCACATGCCATAAAAATCGTTAGCATGGCATTTTGATGGTAAAGAGTCGCCTGCAGCTGCCTCTCTCTCGCGCTCTCGCTCTCTGCTCTTGATGTGGGTCAGTTACGTGGCCACAGGGGCCACAGAAGTTTGCCGGGGCCAGCGCCTGGCCTGGCTGGCCTGGCTGGCAAGGGAAATGCAATTCAATCCAAGGCTGAGCCGCAAAAGTTTTCATTGAGCGTTTTCAATTTCAATGGTCTCGATTTCACACGCCTCGAATGCGAACCCAATCCGCAGCCAAACACGCATCTACATAGTTTTGCGCCACGCTACGTGCACGCTCTGCAATTGGAGTTTGTGGCATGTGGCATGCAGCAAGTGGCAAGTGGCATGTGATTGTGGTCTGCGTGGCCTTTAAGCAAAGCCACAACAAAAATGTTAGCCAAAATATTTGAATTTTATTTCAGGCCCAGACCGGCTGACAATGCCGCCTAATGCGCGTATTTATAGGTGACTCGGGCGAAAAACATTTAAATATAGTATATAAATAAATATGTATAAAGATACATATTTATCATAATGTGATAATCCCGTTGTAGGCGTTGGCTTTTTGACCACTAAACGATTTTTTCGCAGTGATTTATAGTACGCAGCCAAAAAATACGAAACATTAAGGCGTGTAAAGATCTTCTAGGTATTATACTTATAGAAACACATTAGCCAAGGCTGCGAATTATGAATAATACCTATTAATAAAGTGTGCTAACGCTTAAGGAAAATTGTGCTTAATTTTTAGGCTGAAAACTGATGAGTCTAATAATATAATTAATATATATATAAATAAATATAAGCAGAAGTTAACTTACCTGTTGAAGGCGCACGCTAAGACGTGGTTTTGGGCAATTCCACCTGCGACTGCGGAAAATACGCGGAAATCTGAAATGAAACAAAATTTCTTGGTTAACAATGAATCTATAAAAAAGAAGTTATATAAAAAGAATTAAATTAATTATATATAACTGCTTTATATATATATATATGTATAGCCGGTATTTTCCGGCGTTGCCTAATGTTATAATTTATATAAATGAAAATATTATCTAATATGAAATTTAAGCCAAAAATGAATAAACATAATGTTTAAAATATGCACAACCAATTGTTGCTGTCCATATTTAAAGTACATAAATAAACATTTATTTATTATTTCAATACATATTTTTTGAACCTTTCAATCCAAGCTACTTTTGATTTACTTTTAGTATCCTTGCTCAGGACAGTCGCAGATTTCTTAGCTGCAAGTTCCTTACGCCTGAGGTGCAGGTGATAGGAATGCTGGCGTTGCACATCTGAGAAGTGGGTTGGAAATAGGTTGAGCCCGGGCAGTAGTAGAGGGCACCGTACCAGGAACTAGAGCTCAAGTAGCAGTAAATGTACCTAAATGCGGGCTGGGTTAAAATCGAATTGGCCACCGAACGGATTAGAATACATACTCCTTGCAGGTTGTTTCCAGCGTATTGCCATAGGGAAAGCGTCCAGCCTTCTGGATATATCTGCAGTAAGTGGTGGGATCCAGGATAGAGCCCGGAGACAATGTCGTGGACATCTCGTCATCCACCAACGGACAGGTGGCCTGTGAACCGGATGATGCAATGCCGCAAATGTTGGGATTTTCCAGGTTGCAGACATAGTTGGGAGCACAGCTGCCGGTGATCGACGATGGAGTGACTGTACCCAGGCACAGAGCAAACGTGCGAACGCCCAGGCAGGCATGGGTCATACCTGCGTTGCACATTAGGCAGCTGTTACATGACCTCATGGCGCTGTTGACCTGGCAAATCGCCTCCTGCGCCGTGCAATACGAGCCCGATGGACAGCTATTGATTGGCTGGACGGGTAGGTTGTCCTCGCAGAACATAAACTGTGTTTCCGAGACGCAGGCCGCATTCGAGGATGCGGAGCAGATATTACAATCGCCCCGGCAATCCTGGACTCCGATGGCCAGCAACAGCAGCACCAGCACGCGCAACATCTTTGAGCACAACTGCAGTGTTGCACTGCCCGGCAAGTGCATTTAAGATGTGCTTTTAATCTAATCTGCACTATAGCCGAACATATGAGTTGCGTAAGCGCAATCGTAAAAAATATTAAATAATAAACAAATCTTTGTTTAGCCTCTTTGAATTTATGATGAAGCCGCTTTTAGCGCACGGGCCACAAGGAAGCAGATGTCTAAAAACCGAAAGCCCTTAGAATTGATAAGGTTATAGATACATTTAAAATGATCTAAACTTACATCCTACCAAGTAATTTGTAAATAATAAAATAAAAATGTAAAATGTTCAGCACATTGGTGAAGATCATGAAGGCTGACAATAAATATTGCTGCCTGTAAATATGCATCTCATTTTTTTTAACAGACCTAAAAATATATAAAAATGCTTATAGTGTTTTTACTTCTTTAAATACATTTAGCAGCAATTGGCGCAGTGCCATAATGAAACAACCCAAAATCCCTTTCGACGATAAGGATATATTTAAAATGCTTTAAATAAATATTTAAAATAAATGAACGATTTTGGGCACACTGGCAAAGGCCATTAAAGCGGGCAACAAATTCTGGCGCCAGAAAGTATGCAATGGATTTTTAACAGCGCATTATGTGAGGCTTTGGGTTTAATCTCTTCCCTGTGATTTGACTTAAGACGATTTGACAAAATTAAGACTACTTTATAAAATAATCACATCAAAGAATTTTTTTATGAATTTTAATTTAGACTGACCTGATAGGTAGACCTATAGTTCTTGCCAAGCTCCGGGAATAGGGCAACCAGTTTTTCTCCTTCCAGAAGAAGCAGGTCGCCTTATAGAATTATACGATCGTTTTACTCGCTCTTTTTAATTTATATACCTAGTGGATCACCTGCAAAATGATGCGAATTATTAAATGTATATAATAAATAGGGAAGAGTATATATATATATATATCAATTTTTTAATATAAGATATACACTTGATGTTTAGTTAAATGCCCGATAAAAGCTTTTTTTATTGCTTCAAAGACAGCTATTTTAAAAAGTTAAGCTTTTTATTGGCGCAGATTTCGCAGAGATAGTAAAATCTTAACGCAAGTTGAAGGTCTTATCTATAAAAACTGTGTGCACACAAATAAATAAAGATTTCTGGAATGTGTGAGTAGTTCAAGGAATTCAAATATATATTTTTGATGAAGATTTAATTGAAATAATTAAGCAAAAAGACAACCTGGAAGCGTTGATTTGGTTGTGCCGCACACCAAGTTCCAGCCATTGAAATAGGGTTTATCAGTGGGGCAATCAATAATGCGACCCACCCACGATTGTATATAGAATCGGCAATAGATGTAGCTGAAAGGCGGAAGCAAACAATGAAAGCAGCTAGAACATAGTAAAGAAAACGCGGGCTTACCTGGTGCACTCGGTGTCATTGGGTATAGCATGAATGGGAATACCCTTAAAGGAAGCGGTGCAAAAATCATCGATAGATACGGTGGGGCTCTCCAGTGTGGTGCTCTCTGTGTCGTCCTCAGTGCTTGGCTGCTCTGTGGTTGCCGGCTGCTCTGTGGTTGTCGGCTGCTCTGTGGTTGACAGTTGCTTCGGGCAGGTGGCACTTGTCGTAGTCGCATTGCCGCATATCTCCGGCAGATATCTGTTGCACACCAGCTGCTCGCCGCAGTTGACCGTGATATTGGATGGTCGATTGCCGCCCAGGCACAGGGCAAAGGTGCGCGTGTCCATGCAGGCAAAGGTGCCCAGTTCATTGCACTCGCCGCAGCCCTCACAGGCGACAAGTGCTGCGTTCTGTTGGCAAATCGGCAGCTGGCTGGTGCAGTAGCTGCCGGCGGGGCAGGAGTTGATGGGTCCCGTGGCCTGGTTATTTGAGCAGAACTGAAATTCCCGCTCCGAGATGCAGGCCACGTTGCTACCGACGGCGCAGGCATTGCATTCTGCCTGGCAGCCCTGGCTGCCAATTGCAATGGCCAAAATCGCAGTGAGTAGACGCCGCATCTTGAAATGCAACTGGCTGAACGATGCACGGCAGGAGCTTTTTAATCGTAATAGGAACTGCAATCTTGTCTAATCTAACTGGAACACAAAAGCAAATCATGTATGGGAAAGTGAGCAGAGACTTTGTTTTTGTTGTGTTGCTTTCTTTATGGCCCTTTTGATAAGCCAAAGCGCAAGCAAGGTCTGTGGGCTTATCTAAATTATCTAAAAACAGTTGCTTAGACAAGGTCAAGCCGAAATTAGTTGCCGAAAATTACTATTTAAAGAGAGACAACGATCCATAAAGAACATACAATTGTGTGAAATGTCTACGAAGGAGATGAAACTTTTTGGATGCCTGCTGCAGCTGATGTGCCTGTGGGCCAGCGCCAAAGCCACTTGCAATGTGTGCAATGCCGTCAACAGCATGGCCTGCTACTCGCTCAACCAGACGCAGGCCTGCGATGCAAGTGGCCTGCCCACGCGCATACCCTATAGCTGTCCCGACGGCTATGTGTGTGTGAACAGCGCAGCAGGCGTGCGCTGCCAGCCCAGCAGCAGTGGAACGGGCGCCTGCCAGGAATGCAACAAGTGTGACTTCACCAGGACCTTTGCCTGCACCGGAACGAACACCTTTGCGCTCTGCCTGGGCACGGATGCGCCGCAGAACTCGCTGGGCACCTGTGCTGCGGGCTATGTGTGCAACAATCGTGATGAGCGGATTTGCGGACTGGACACGCAGGTAGTGCCCACCTGTTCCTATGCAGATGAGACGACAACAACGGCCGCAACAACTGCAACAACGGCAACAACTGCAACAACGGCAACTACGGCAACAACTGCAACTACGGCAACAACTGCAACTACGGCAACAACTGCAACAACGGCCGCAACAACAACCACGGTAGCCACGCCCTCGACTAGCGATGCCAGCGCCTACTGCGCCGCTGTCCAGGCCCAGGGCAACTATGCGGTGGGCAACTATACGGCAACGACTTGCCGTCAGTATATCAAATGTTTCCTACTGAATGGCAGCTGGCGTGGTCAGACATATACGTGTCCGGGCAGCACATACTTCAGTCCCAGCAGCAGGCTGTGCGTCACCACGGTGCCCGCCACGTGCTACACACCGCTGAGCACCACCACGACCACCACAGTGGCGCCCACCACCAGCAATCCGAATGCATATTGCGCCAAGATGCAGGCAGAGGATTACTACCCGGTGGGCACCACGGCCAGCACGACTTGTCGTCAGTATATCTACTGCTTTGAGCTGAACGGCAGCTGGAAGGGTAAGCTGTACACCTGTCCGGGCAGCACCTACTACAACAGCTCCAGCAAGACGTGCGTCACAGCGCTGCCCGCCACCTGCACGAGTGCTGTGGCCAGCCTGAGCCTCAACGGCGTGGATCTGGAGTGACAGTTGCAACTATCTATTATAATTATAAATCTATTATTATTATTAAACGTCATATTATATCAATCAAGCTGTGCAGTTGGCGGGCAACAGGTAGGAGCAGCGTTCTTTTTCCGCCTCGAAATAGGAGCTCGCCGTGCAATCGTATTCCACGGCTATTATCTTGCCACTGGTGGCAAAGTAGCAACTGATATAACTATAACAAATAGAATGTGCATTAATTAGAGCTTGAAATTGAGCTAATAATTTCTACAAACCGTTTGCAGTTGGGATCGCGCGGCACAGTTTCGTAGAGTCCCGACTTGGCCCTCAGCTCGCACACCTGCTGCGCCGTCAGGGAGCTGGGCGTTGTGGGCTTGGCTGTGGTTGCCACTGTGGTCGCCACTGTGGTGTCCTCTGTGGGGCTGCTCACCAGATCGTCGTTTAGGTCACAGGTGTAGTTTTGACCAGCCCGCTCGGCCACACAGACCACATCGGTGCTGGCATCGCAAACGTAGCCCGCCGGGCAGGTGCCCAGCGCGCCCGTCGGCTGTGTGGCACCGTAGCACATTTGGAACAGGCGTCGACTCTGGCAGGCGAATTTATAGTTGCGATTTGCACTGCATTGGCCACATTTGCTGGTATCGCCGCAGCTGGGAGGCCGCTGGGCGCTTGCCTGCAGGCAGATGGCCGTCCTGTCGGTGCAGACGGTGCCTTCCAGGCAAGAGTAAATATGATCCGTGTGTGGCGTGCCATCTGGAAGATAATATTAAAGGTATATATTTATTGACTTGCATCGAAATCGGCTTTGCAACCTCGACTCGCGCTTTCGAGCGAGAATTTTGAACTGCTCGACCTTGCAACATGTTCGAGCGAAGCTCAAACAACTAGCTCGGACACAACCGCAACTTGATGCAAGCTCGAGTCGAGACTAGAATCACAGCTCGCTCGATCGAAATAATTGCGCGAGTATTCAAAACGCGTTTCGGTGGACTCGATGCAGGGCTTTAATATACTTATCTTGCACTCGAATATTTTAATAAGCTGTAATTTACGCACCTCCAAAACACAAGTAGAAGGATGTGGAATTGATGCAGGCCACCTGATTCGTTTGGCAAACATTGCAGTCCGCCAAGATCCCAACCAAAAACCAGGCTAGTGCGAGCTTTGGATGAAGATATGTTTGTACTGTTTATCATGCGAATATCCTTGCTAAACTTACCACGCCCACAATTTGCATAAAATTTGACATTTTCATAGCCATTTGACGCCTACTCGATGCTCCTTGATGAGGCCCGAAGACTTCTATTCACTGTCAAGGTTTTAGGTGTACTAAAGTACATTAATCTCTTGTCTGCGACGTTATAAGCTCTTGTTTTTTTCTAGTCGACTAGTGAAATTTTCATTGTTTATCTACTCTTCATATATATTTTGGGGCATGCTAATTGTTTTATTTGCCTTGGCTTTCCACTTGATTGCCCGGCGCTGTTTTATGATCGCAACATAAAAACCACGAAACAAAAAAGAATCTAACACTGCGATAATGAGCTAAAAGCTTTATCATAATAATACACCTGACTAGCTACCGGGCCGCCGACCAAATGCCCATAATATTCTCGTAAGTCAGTTGCAATTGCTGCGGCAATTATGGACAACAGGCTGGAAAGAAATTACCAAATTATTATAAATGCATTACTTAATCAAATACTCAAAGATTGTCTAGAAAATAGCCTTTACTGATTGCCTAACTGCGTCAGCATTCAGCTTAGAGATGAGACAAGTTTTTCGACATGCCAAAACGGGCTCGTGCTGCAAGATTCTTTTTCGTGTGCGTTCCGTGCGAGTCCGCGCTAATCTCACGAGCACAAAGAGCACGATTTGTGAAGTAAACAACTTATTCGAAATTCGTATTCCTAAATTTTGGAATAAAGCGAATAAACTTCTCTATTCTTGATTGTATTAAGCTCAATTTGTGTCGCACGTGCGTGTAAAAGATTATTTCGTGTTCGTGCTGGCTTGTCTCGTTAAAGATCGGCCCGCGCTCATCTCCAACTGAGATGTTTGTCATAATCAATTAGCTATAGAATAGTCGACTAGCAGATGCCCCTAAGCTTAGCCTGGCTCGTTTTGGGTAAAGACCACTAATAATGATATTTTTTTAATTTTAAATAGAAAACTCTCTGCTCGAATTTACAATTTTTGCAGAAAGCCAAATATTTATGATTATAGCTAATAGAAAAAGCCAAAGTTTATTTAAAAGATACGTTTGTAAGCAATTATATAATCAAATAAGAGTTACAATTAAGTCAATTGCAACCCGCAGTGGTTGGCCTTACCGTGCCGCAAGCGGAGATCGCATTGAAGTAAGGTTTTTCTGCCGGACAAGCGACTATGTTTGCCTGCCAGACGCCACCCCTGTAGAAACAACTGATGAAGCTGCAAGGGAAGAATATTTATTGATCAATCATAATTAGATATTCAACAAATGCTTACCTGGTGCATTCTGTGTCACTTGGTTTGGCAAAGCGACCTGCTTTCTGAATGCCGCGACAGTATTGATCCGCATCAAATTGTGGTGTAGCTGTTGTCGTGGAGCTGCTGCTGCTGCTGCTACTGCTGCTGCTGCTGCTGCTGCTACTGCTGCTGCTACTGCTGCTGCTGCTGCTGTCAGTGGTTGGGCTAGCAGCGGTGCTCTGACCAGTAGTGGCGGCAGTTGGGCTAGACTCTGTGCTCGGATCAGGTGTTGGCGTAGTGCCCGACTCGTTCTCGACCCTATCACACGTGTCTTGGCTGTCCGGTTCGCATCTTGAAACACAGGGATCTCCTATCGCTGCTCCAGAGACGCTGCAGAACCAGTCTGTGGGGCAGGGACTGCGCTCAGGCAGGAGTACGCCGCCATCGCATCTGCCGAAGGTGGTGCGAGAGGCGCAGGCGTACATTTCACCATTGCTGCACTGTTCACACTTGGATGTATCCCCGCAGGCGGGAAGTAAATCCTGACCCATGCAAATATCGCCAAATTCCGTGCAAATCGGGTTGTCCTCCGGACAGGAAAAGCTATGCTCCGGATATGGGACGCCTGTGGTGCGGCATCAATTTTAGTTGGCAACTTAAAACTGCTTCAAGCATCCAATCTTACCATTATAACACAGCTGAAAGGTGGTGTTGCTGGTGCAGGTGTGCGCGTGGTAACACAGCCCGCAGGTGGCCTCCACAATTGCCGCTGGCGCCAGCAGCGTGGCCAGCAGAGCAATAAGCCCAACGCGTAGGAGCTGCAACATCTTCAGTTTTCTAATTGAAGTAGCTGGATGCTGTACTCAAGCCTTATAAATGCTGTGGACCGCTCCGTGCATTATCTTTATAGCTGAAACTACCCGAAAGCCTTTTTTATCTCTCAATGCTACCGCATCCATAAATATGCTAGCTACTGTGCTGCCTATCTGTATTCGCCTATCTGCTGTAAACATTATTATTTGCACAATCCTAAGCCCAGCATAAAACAAGGCGATTATCTCAGGCTGTTTTTTTTTTTACCAAAAAGTGGATGATATAAATGTGCGGCATATGTTGAAAGGTCTCATTAGTCAGTTCGACGCTCTTCCGTCAAGCATAACAAATATTCAAAATGCAGCAGTCGCACTGCCTAAAAAATCTGGTAAGCCAGCTAAACAGTGGCAATAGCAGCAGATGCCTTCTTTAACCGCTTCAACTTCCTTTAGATGCTCCTCTTGGTGCTCAGCTCCGTGCTGGTGGCGGCAAATGGCGCGGTTTGCGGTGGTTGCATGGAGAACAAGGTGGCCTGCATGAACTCCACCCACTACAAGGTCTGCATCAACAACTCGCCCATTGAGAACGGCGGCTTACTCAGCTGTGGCAATGGCAAGATCTGCACCAGTCTACTGGATCCATGCTGGCCATCGATGGAGGGAGATGGTGTTGAGCCCGTTTGCGATCCAAACGCTGTTAACTGCAGAACCTGTGATGGCAGTCAAATGTTTGTCTGCACCAGTCGCACCACCTTCCAATTGTGCACTGGCAGCGATTTAAGTCCCATTATCAACACCTGCCCGGATAACACCTACTGCTCCATCGATTCCGGCGAGTACTGTGTGAAAAGCTGCAGCCTGCCCAACGGAAAGTACGAGTGCGACAAGCTAGCACCTTAAACTAGTTAATAAATCGTATCAACTGTTTAAGGTTTTTAAATTTAAATTGAAGTATAACAATAAATAATATAAAAATATGTAAATACTGATCGATTGATTGATTGGTGACATACAGTAAGAGCTACGAAGCTGAAGTTACTTTATGTGATGCAAGTAAATACGGGGTTTCGGGAAATTCCACTCGCATGTGTGGAAAAATCACTAAAATCGTTTGCATGAATCTTTTTTGTTTACGATTTTATCGGCCTCAAATAAACATACATACATACATACATACATACATACATACACACACACATACATACATACATACATACATACATACATGCATACATACATACATACATACATACATACATACATACATACATACATACATACATACAAACATACATACATACAAACATACATATATCTACATACATACATACATACATACATACATACATACATACATACATACATACATACATACATACATACAAACATACATACATCTACTTACCCGCCCAACCTCCTCCTGGTCGGCCGCCTACAGCTGCACCACAAGTTGCTCCTCCACAGGCCGGTGGAGCCAACGTTTCCTGCCTTGCTGAATTTTAGCAAGGTCTACTTGAATTCTTGAGAATCGAGGAGGAGAGCACTTGGTATAAATTCATTTTATTTAAATTTTCAGGACACCGATAAATAAGCTTGCTCTGCGTGCATACATATATTCATAAATATATATGTACATGCATGCATACACTAACACACACACGCCCAAGGGCACACACACGCACATATATACTCACAAACACATATAAACAATACTTATATGCCTACGTCCAAATACTTGTCTAATTATAAAAGTAATTATTTTCAGCAGTTTTTTATAGAATATTTTGCATATCGATTCAACCAATGATCGATTACTTTTTAAAATCATAATAAAATATATAAGAAGTATACGAATATATAAAATTATTAAATAGTTTCCCATGAGTGTATTTTGCTTTCCGTAATATACATAATAAATGATCATTTAGTATGACAAAGTCTCTTATCCGCAAAAAGCACGTGTATTTTATGTGAATCAACGGCAAAATTCGACCTTTGCCCATTAAGTCATATGTGCAGCAGCTAAAATTATCAAAATAACATTAACAAGAAGCATTATCTAAGCAGCGTGTCTAAATAACACTTTTTGTATACCCTGTACGCAAAAATTTGTTTGTTTCTTGTTTGGAATATATAGGCAGAAGACATCTGTTAACCCAAATCAGTTGTCAAATAAACAGGTAATTCGAAATCCGAATCAAAACCATGTTTTTTCACAACTTTTTTAATGACAAATTAAAATTATATTTATAAATATATTCTTTCGAGTATAACTTTTTAGACCCCATTTGAAGACTTAGTAGTTTATAAACTGCTTAAATAGCTTAAGTAAGCTTAAATAATTTTGATCCCAAACTAAGCATTTATCTAGCCATATTTCGTATATGCCAATTTTGGGTAGAGATCAAATTTAGCCCGCATTTTGTATATGAAAATATGTGCGACAGGCAATATTTTCAGAACAACGGGCAACTTGTAACTTAAAAATTCGTTTTTTATTAAAATCTTTTCATTAAACCTGTAAAAGATTTGTGCACCGGCTCATCAATATTTTATTTTGGGGTGGGATAGGTACGCATATCTGTTTGTCCTCTTACGATTCCAGGGAATCTCTTCATAAGCTGATGTTAAATTCTGTTGCTTATGTTTTATAGCATATATATATAAAGGGTGAGAACTTCATAAAATAAATCCCATTGCAAATAAATATACATACCTATAATCCATTTCCCCTTTGCAATACGATTCCAGCGAAAAGCTGCGGCCCTGAAATGAGAATTTACTAAATACCGTTAATAAAATCGTTATAAATAAAAAGCTCTTATCGCGCTTGTCGCAGTTTTTTGTTTTTTCTTTTTTTTTGGACGTCATATTCGACAAGGTCCAAAAACACGGTGTACCGTCCAATAAACTTAGCCAGAGCCAAGCGAGTGGCTAACAAAGTGCACTCGCTTAGGTTACAAAATAAATAAATTAAATTAGGCAAAACAAGAGCTAACATTGACCCAATTGCCGTTCGGCTTTAATCAAATTAGTCAGACTAGATGACGTTCAGGTTTTCGGTTTTCACAGCGGCATTTCACACCACATGTGACATAAGTTTTATTATTATTATTCTATTACAATGTATTTTCTTTTATGTCGCAACCAAATTGTTAGCCACTTTCACGCTCGAATTTTCGCCAGGCCTTGCCCAACATATAATCGCATGCGAGGGTGTGGAAAATACAAATTCGCAACAGGAAGCACAACAAAAAACGTTGACGAAACGTGTAATACACGTATTATATAGGGATATATCCGCAGACACCTCCGCACCACCAGCAATGCCATTGACTGCATTTGGATTTTGAGCCACAAATGTTGTTGTTGTTGTCGCTTTTGTTGCTGCTGTTACCATTGCTGTTGATTGTGGCGCAACTAATTGTTTTTTAGCAGCTAGAGTTTTGTCAAAGCAATTAATATTCAGCTAAATTTACAGTTTTTTATACCATGTACCCACTGAATATGAATAGAATGGGTATGCTGCCTTAACAGGCAGAAGAAAGCATCTCAGGTCGCATTAAGTACATAAGTATATTCCTGATCAGGATTCTCCTTCTCGGGAACTATACTAGTTAGAGAATGAACATTTGTATTATTTATACAAGTATATCACACGCTGTCCATATCTTTGACTCATCTATAATATCGACATTTATCGATTTTGAAAACTGTTATATTATAGGAGCTATATCCACCAAACATGGTATGTACATAGGTACATAGGTATCACTACTTGCAGACCAAGTCCCATTTCATCATAAATGGAAAATAGCTCAATTTAAAAGGTAAAGCTTTGCGCTTTGGTATATACACACACTCTTAAGCCATATTCAAGCTTTGAAAATTTCACAAAAATCTGCTTTTAAACAACCAAGTTATTTCAGAATTCCCAAACATAGTTTGAGGCAAAGGCAAGAAGATTGGATGGATGTATAGATCTGAAATACTTGAAATGTTTTCAATGGCGCTGGAGCTGAGGATATCTTCAAGTCGGGCACACCCGACCGTAGCAGTCTGTTTTTTGTCGTTAAACTAAAAAGCGCAAAGCGCCCACAAATTGCGGTCATTAAACCTATTTCCACGCCAAGCCGAATAAATTGTCGCCCCTGGGCGGCTGCGTGCCATAACAGCGCCAGGGCGCAACGCGTGCGCATCTTCAGCTCCCAGCTCCAGCTACGGTTTTGGAAACGGATATCCTTAGGAGAAAATGAGCAATTTTCAGCTGCAGCTAAGCAGCGTATACGTGATCTGTTGTATGTTCGTCCTGGCCAGCAGCAAGGTGCCAACCAAAACACATACGAACAGCTGGCGGGATTTGATCTTTGGCAGCAAGTGGCTGTCCCCGACGCCGCGTCAGCGCGAGTCCAAGTGTGGGTGTGGTGGATATGGTGTTTGTGTTGACCACAGCTGATTTGACCTTTCGCAGTTTTACCCATCTTTGCCCTGGTGCCCATTGGACCAAGCAGCTGTGCCGCGCCCTCCGGCGAGCAGGGCAACTGCATTGCCAACAAGGATTGCCTGCTACGCAATGGCATTCCGGCCGGACCCTGCGGCGGTGGCTACGGCGTCTGTTGCATATGTGAGTGCAAGTCTTTTGAGAAGCTCAATCCCTAAGTTAAAATACATTTGGCAGTTCTACAAACCTGCGGCGGCATCATACGCGAAAACTCCACGTATTTTGTGAATCCGAATCATCCGGATGTCTACGATGGCACCGGCAGCTGTCAGGTGACCGTGCAGAAGCTGCATCCAGATATCTGCCAGTTGCGCTTGGACCTGGACATGTTTTCGATAGCGCCACCCGAGGCGGCCAATCATTTGTGCAATCAGGATCAGCTGCTGATTTCGGGCGGTAGTCCCACGCCCACCATATGCGGCAGCTCCACAGGCGATCACAGTGAGATCTGCCAGCGAAAGCTGAGAACTAGTCACCAAATTGTTTCCATTTTGCAGTGTACATCGATGCGGGTCTGGGTCAGAGCAATCCCATTGTGCTGTCCGTGATAACCAGCGCCAGCTTTCCGCGCCTGTGGCGCGTGCGCGTCACTCAAATCCACTGCGGCAGCATTAGCCGTGCGGACCAGGGCTGCCTGCAGTACTACACGACGATCAGTGGGCGTGTCCGGAGCTTTAACTACAACACAGTGGGCGGGCGTCAGCTCTCGAATCAAGACTACAGCATTTGCATACGGAGCGAGCGCAATTTCTGCGGCATTCAGTACAATGCCTGCCCGGATCTGGAGAACAATCGTTCGCGTGCCTTCACCATATCCGGCAACTCCAACAATCCGGTGCCCACCATGGTGGGTGGCGGCGGTGCTGGTGCGGGTGGTGGGGCGGCACCCAATGGCAATGGCTGCATCAGCGACTGGCTGCTAATTGGCTGCATACGCTCCGCGGATCGCATACCGCCGCTGCCCGGCTGCGAGGATCGCGTCTGCGGCGGCACCTTCAGCGCCGAGGCGGGCATGCTGGCCAAGACCGTGCAGTGTAAGTCCAAATTTCCCGATCCATTTAAGGCCTGCTTAATCTGAATCCTCTGCAGCCAGCGTACGTCCGTTTCGCCTGTATTTTCACACTGACGGCGTGGAGGCGCCCAATGATATAGACAATCGTGGCTTCTGTCTGGACTACGTGCAGCAGCCGTGCACGAATGGATATTGAAGCAGGTTCGAGTCTCCGTTGATTTAATAAATATGTGTGTATGTATTTTATTTATTATCGTAGTTAATCTAAGGCTAAGCTATAGTTAAGTTTTAAGTTAATATCGTCGCAGATCGGTACAAATTAAAATCTTGGGATAACGTTTTGAAATTCTAAAATATATATGCATATATATACATATATATATACATATATAGATATATATAGATATATAAATTTGTTTTGGCTATTAATACAGTTGTTACAAAATAAAAAATATGTTTAATTTTAATACTTAGACGAAGTAAAAACAAATATTGAATAACAGAAATGAATTAAGAGAACTTTTGTAGGACTGTGTCGTTTCAGATTTATGGGAGTTGCGGTATACCAGTTCGAGTTCCGTTTCCGGAACCGAACCCGGAACTACTAGTTCCGTGTACCTATTGCTCGGCTGCATCTGCTGCTGCACATGAGATCGCCAATTTCAGTCTGTGCGCGCATTGCCCGGACTTGTGACGTCACTGGCGAGGTTTGCTCGGGTTTCTGGGATGGGATTAGGGTTTCGCCCGGGGAATTTTCTTAGCTCTAATAGGTTTGTATTAGGGCAGACACATGCTGTTTCTCCTCATCGGTGAGACCGTTCTTCAGCGTTCGACGCACTGCAAAACACAAATCAAAATAGTTATCAACATTTTTTGCTCTCAATTAAACTCTCAACACTTGATACATAGATGAAGTCTAAAGGTGCGACTCATGCGGTTTTAGTGGCGTTTTTGTTTTTGTGTACAATATTTTCTCAATTTAAATTAAAGGCATGCTCTGTATTTTAACAATTCAAGTGGGATGCGAGACAGGCGCGCTTCAAGTGCAAAAAAACAAATTTTTTGAGCTCCATTTGCAAACATTCAGCTGAGAATTTGACATAAAATTGTATTTAAACGGGCTTTTTAGATGCCGGCAAATGGATCTCTGGAAAAATACGTAACTCGAACAATAAACTTGAACAAAAATCAAAAGTTTGCATTGTATATATGCAATGCAATTCAACACTAACCAAAATAAAGGGGTAAAAACCTAAAAGAGAACAGTTTGACTGTTCTTTTCGGTAACAGTTGCGCAACAGCTGCGCAACGGTTCTATGGCGATGGTGCTCTTTCAACTGTGAATCCCTCGCGCGTGCGGCTGCGCTTCACTTCGGTATTCGATTGATTCGATTCGATTGATTGGTCGATTGATTTGTTGATTGATTGGTTGATTGATTGGTTGATTGATTGGTATTTGTTGGGTGCGTTAATGGTAAGAAAACACAAAATTAAAAACCAATATAGGCAACCGATTTGTAAGCTAGCAGAACCGAAAAGTGCCAAAGCATGGAAAGGGACAGGGGGGCGGGGTTTATACAATTTAAGTATGGGATAATAATTCTGTCGATCAGCGCATAGTTTTTTCTTTTCTTTCAGGTGTCAATTTTGGAATTTGTTGCGGCATTTAATTCATTTCATTTCGAATCTGCTCAGGTGTGTGTGTGTGTGGGCGGGTGGGTGTGCCTGTGTGTCTGTGTGGCCAGCCAATGGTGCGCGTGTGGGCGTGTGTGTGTTCCAAAAGATAAACCAACAGCTGGATTAAAATTGAGCTTGGCCAACACGGGCAGATAGCAACAAAGCGTTTCGAGTGGGCGTGGCAAACAACTTACAGGACTTGCGATCCGCATGGCGTGTACGCTTACGCTCCCGGGGCGTGGTGCGGTTGCCGGAGGCCTTGGTGGCCGTCTTGACGAGAGATTCGAGTATTTCATCATCGCCATCGGTGAACTGCTCCTCGCTCTGCCTGGCGATGGGCGAACGCAGCTGCTCGGCGCGGCGGCGTCGCCAGGTGAGTGTGCCGTCGGCCTGATCCGCGCTGGGCGTGCCCAGCAGTTGCCTGTTAAAAGGTTATCAAAGGTGTTAATTGATGTAAGTGTGAGGTATTTGTGGCACACTTACTTTAGCTCGGCATCGGCCACATCCTCTTTGGTCTTGAACTTGGCCATGTCGATGATCAGCTTGCCGCGCGTCTTGTTGCGCTCTCGATGATTGGCCTTCTTCTCCAGCTGCTGCTGGACGCGCTCCCGTGTCGTGCGATACTCGAGCGCGAACTCGGAGAGAGTGCGACAGAACTCGTTGGGTCGCGACTCGGACACACTGTGCTGTGGCATGCCCAGCCACAGCAGGAACTTGCGGTAGCGATTCATCACGCGCCGATGCACAATCTGCAGACTGATGATGCGTTCCGCGCAATCGGCCAGAAAGTCCACGAGCTTCTGCTTCAGTGGCGGCGCACAGTCGTGCTTGGCAATCAGCTTGAGGCGATCCCAGGAGGCCTTGCACTCCGACTCCAGTTGGGTCAGATTGTGGGCAAGGTCGGCGAAGTCCGCCTTGGAGGCGCGCGTAATGGGTCCAATTTCCGAATACAAATCGCTTGTATCGCTGCTGGACTCCATGACCATGTGACAGAGATGGTGCAGCAGCGAGTGCTTGTGCACCGTGTCCTTCACCTCGGGCACCTTGGCCAGATACTCGATCTGGAAGCCCTTGACCGGCGCCCCATTCAGAAAGATGCCCACCGACAGCAGCGTGGAGAGTATGCTGCGAAAGGTGCGATTCTGACGCAGAATCTCAATGCCTTGCTTGAGATCCATCAGCGGTTCGGCAATCTCTCTCTGCAGCGAGCAAAAGAATGAGTTGAATAAAAGAGCAACAGCTGCTTGAAGCTTGCCGAGCTTACCTCGCAATTGTCAAAGTCCAGACGGAAGGCCCACAGCTTGAGGCGTGCGCCCAGCTCCGTGATGGAGGCCAGGGTCAGCAGGAACTGCTCGGCGCTGCCCAGCGGCAGCTCTGGATTCGATAGCTGTGCCTCCTGTATCTTGCCGCGCTCCTCATCCGTGGGCAGCATGTTCAGCAGCTTGTCAATGCCCTCCCTAGTCACCACAGTCGCATCCATCTTCAGAATGGCCGCCTTTATGGCGCGCGGCGGCGGCAGCTTGGTGATCGCAATGTTGATGGCATTGGAGCGCTTGTGGTCCAGCACGATGATCTCTTTGCTCTTGTTCAGCTCCTGTTGCTTCTGCAAGTGCGAGAGAAAGAGAGAGTTAGACACAGCAAAAGAGAGTGAGACCGTGAGAGAGACAGAGAGAGATGTTCGTGTGGTGGGAAAGGGGGCGTATACGCAATGTATCTATCGGTAGCAACAAAACATAAACAAACGAAAAACCAAACTAGAAATGAATTCGTGGTTCCGGTTCCGGTTCCGTATTCAGTTCCGGCGCTTTTGCTGTAGTGTGTGTGTGTGTACGAGTGTGTGTGTGTGCAACATAAAATAGTGTTGTAAACCGACACCGAGTGCAAAAACAAAGACAAAACTAACAAAAACCGAGTGAGAGTGAGAGTGAGAGAGAGATAGACAAAGAGAGACACATAGAGAGAGAGCGAGTAAAAGTGTATAAAACATAACGTGGCACTCACCTCCTAGAACATTTGGAAACATTTTTATTTGATTATAATTTTTGAGGAAATTTGATATATTTTTTTGGTTTTTAGCACAACATATATGTATTTGTAGATATATCCGCAAACAGACCGTTGACATATAGAAAATTATTTTAGAACATGTCCAGAAATAAATGGGAAAAGAATACAAATATCATTCGCAAAAAATTGTGTTATGCAACATTTATACTAAGATAAAAACTACTTTTAAAAAAAATTTGACTTAGTTTATTGTCAATTGAATTTTGAGCAACCCTCGCGCCAATACACACTTGCCGGGAATACCCCTAATGTCGTTAGACGTCATACAATACGCACCTTGGTCATCAAGTCTTTGGCCCGCGACTCAAAGAGATGCTCGAGCTTTTGCGTGTCCACATTCGCATTGGGCAGCTCATCCCAAATGGTCTTACCTATCACCTGCGGTATCATGTCCTCGCGCACTTCCTTCCAGAAGAGCTTGACCTGAAACCGCATGGCTTAATCAGTTAGTTTCTCAGTGGGTTCAATTGTGGGAGTGTACTCACCGTCTTCTTGTTCTTCTTGATGGTGTTGTTGCCATTGGCCAGCTCCCCGTTGATGGAGCCGTTCAGTGAGCTGTTCACGCTGTTGGTCAGGCTGCCGGCACCGTAGCCCCCGTAGCTGAACATGGGCGGCGGCGCCAGGCTGGGCGGCATCATGGGCGGCGGCATGACCATGCCACCAGCCTGGGGAGGCGGTGGCGGGGGTATGCCAGCGCCGAGACCACGCGGCGCCAGCACATCCTTCTCATCGTCCGAATGCAGATCGGTAAAATCCAGATCACACAGATTTAATGGTCGTGTCATATTCCGCACCAGCTCCTCCCAGTGCAGCTCGTTCTCCGATTTCTTCGGCTCAGCCTTTTTCAGTTCCTGATCAACGCTCGATGAGCTGTGCGATATACAGATATACAGATATAGATAGTGCAAAGTATCAGCATTATTGCACCTCCTCCTTTGGTCAAGCGAGCTGGACTTTTCGATTTTATGATAACACAATTGCAACTGGCCCATAAAGCTTATCAAAATTTCGCCTAGTAGCAAGATAAGCGACCCCAACGATGGCAAAAAAAAAAAAATTATAATAAAAAAAAGACGACTTTCTAGATTGGAAGATCCCTCGGATATGAGTCTATAATTGATTAGGTATTTCGTATAGCTACCGCCCCCTTAAAACTAACTAACTATTGCAAAAAAGTTGCATAAAATGCGACTCATAAATTTCTAAAGGCCGCCAATTTACGAGCGTTTGTTTTATGACTACGCCTGTTTGATTTGACTGCGTTTAGAAACGATAAGATTTACTTATATTGCGCGTGTCGCCTATAAAAAGAGGCGATTTGAGCGCTACAAATCATAGTCTTTGCCCAAATCCCAAGCAACATGGATGTAAGCAAAGCGCAAAGCCCTTCAAATAGATAATATTCCTAATCATAATTCAATTTTATTGCCTTTGCAGTTCGATACAATTTGCGAAAAGTCCAAGGCCTTCAGCAGCAAGCCGCCAAACGATGTCTATCTGGAATTCTATGGCCTCTACAAGCAGGTGCATGTGGGCGATGTGAACATCGAGAGGCCCGCCGATGCGGAGGGCGCCGCCAAATACGATGCCTGGCTGAGCCGCAAGGGCATGTCCACGGATGCGGCTAAGGCAGCCTATATTGCGCTCTATGAGAAATACGCGCCCATCTACACTTAAATTGAGTTGCTAATACCCTGTAAAAAAAATAAACGTGGCCCAGCCGAACGAGCCATTGCTTAGTCAGCACCAAAAACTGATTAACTAAATGCGAGACCTTTGTTCATTTAATATTGGCAATTAAAGTTTTGTGTTTTGTGTTTTATATAGCCGACATTTAGTAGGGCTTATCACACACACACACACACACGCACACACCCGTTGGTATCGATATCTAAAATATAAGGGGGTCGAATGTCATAAATCGCTATCAGCTGCCGGGTTCTAGTATAAAAAGCCCGCCTCTTGGCACAATTAGCACTCATTAGCAACCGGAGCATAAGACATAATGGATGTAAGTACATTGCAAATTGATTATGCAATCCGCTTGATATAAACTTCTGTGCAGTTCAACACCGCCGCCGAGAAAGCCAAGAACTTCAGCAAGACCCCCACGAACGATGAGTTCCTGGAATTCTACGGTCTCTACAAACAGGCCACCGTTGGCGACAACACCACCGCCGAGCCAGGTGCACTGGATCTGAAGGGCAAGGCCAAGTGGAGCGCATGGTCAAAGCACAAGGGTCTGTCCAAGGATGCCGCCAAGGCTGCCTACATTGCCACCTATGAGAAATATGCGCCCAAATACGCTTAAATCACGCACGATGTAAACCAATTGACTTAACTAATAAACGCCAGATATTATGCAAAAAAAATATATAGATTCTGATCTATTGGACTTCTACAGACTTCTACCAGATATAAGTGGCAAGTGTTGGCAAGAAATTATGATATCACGGTCGAAAAGCTTATTGGAACAACTTTAAACTTAAAGATTAGGCAACTATTGATAGAATATGACTGATAATATATCTATGAAGTGGGTGAATACATTGAAGCAGTCACTTACCGTGAAATTTCACCTTTGCTCTTGCTCTTGGCAAGCCCCTCTTTGGCTTTCGATATGAGGCCAGACATGTCACCGACTATGGCCCGACTGCCTGGCACCTCCTGTGTGGGACTTGTGGGCAGATTGCATAGTTTCTGTGTCAGATCTTTGACTGTATGATCGCGTTTCAGCTGCATTAGCATTTCCTTGTCCTCCAGATCTATGTGATCAAGTAAAGAAAAAGACTTTTTAATTTGGGGAACGGACTTTTTTGGATGGCGCAGAGAAGTGTGCAGCGGCAGCAAATTTGATGTTCAGTTTGAGGCTGCGCTTGAAAGTAGGCAATGGATATTCATGTGGCGCTCTTAAAAGTAGGCAACATATTTTGTAAAAACTGCACCTACCTGTTGCCTCCATAGCTGCTTGAGGCTGTGGCTCTGGGTTAGTACTGGTTAGGGTTCTAGCTGCATTTGGCTGTATGGGAAAATGCCACCAGCCTGGTGGTGGCGGCGGCGGTGGTGGTGGTGGTGGCGGTGGCGCCACAACCGCAGGCTTGTGTATGGGACTCAGCGGTTCGGGTGCGGGCAGTGCATCTGCCTTCAGCGGCGTCGAGCTGGCGGGCGCAAATTCAAAGGCATTCAGCGTCTTTTTGGGACTGAGCACATCCTGTGTTGTGGCCAGCTGATGCTTGGGCGATTGACTGAGCTGTGTGTAGTAGTTGTTCAGGCGATTGGCATCGTTCTCATACTTTTTGTAGGCACTGTCCGTCTGCTGTATGTTCTTCATGATGCCATTGATCACAGTTGCGTTGCGCTCCCGAAAGAGATTCTTTTTGGTAAGGAACTCATTCTGATTGTTCATATTGTTGTTGGCCTTGTCGAAGCTGTTGTTGATGATCGAGATGCTCTGGCTGCCAGTCAACAGCTGCTTGGTGGGGCTCAGCAGCAGGCTGTTGTTGGGCGTGTCAATGAGGTTGTTGTGGGTGTGATGGCCATTGTTGTTGCTATTGTTGTTCTGGATATTGTTGCTGATGATGTTGTAGGGCGTGGGCGCAGGCAGAGGCTGTGGCTGTAGCTGTGGCTGCGGCTGCGGCAGCTCAGATTGCAATGACTGCGGCGGGCTGTCGTCGCTTTGTATGGTTGCAGGAATGGCGGTTACGATTTGGCCTTGGCGTATGACAATTGTGGGTGACATATTGGGTTAGCATGAGCAGCGGGTGACAATGAGACAACACGCACACACATACACGCACACACATACACACACACACATTAGCATGGAGAGAGAATCATAGTTAGTTTCGTTTGTCGAAAGCAGCCGGCGGCAAGCAAATTCCATTCAAGGGACAAGAACTTACCATAGCTTTCGCGCAGCTCACGTGCAGCAAAGATGCCATTGGCAGCCGCCTCCTCCTGCTCCTTGAGGAAGCTCTTGTGCCGCTCGGCGCGCTCACGGCGGCGTCTCAGTCCAGGCGTGACGCCTGCGCTATCCCGTGCTGCATTTAGTTTGAAAGCGAATAATTTGCATTTCTTGGCTGTGCATTATAACTATTTGCTTACGCTTCTTATCCTGGAATATGCCGCTGCCGAACTCTGTGGAGTTGGTGGAGCCGGAGCTGTCATCCTCATCGAGCGTGGCCTGCGTGGGCGTCATGCGCAGCACCGTGGTGGGCAGCACCTTGGTCAAGGGCGCCGGACTGTTGTCCGTGCTGTGGCGTCGCGACTTGCGGCGCTCTGTGGTGCCCGAGCCGGGCCGACAGCGTTGCGTCTTGCGCAATGAGTTCTGCGGCAAGCGCTGGCCATCCGATTCGCCATCCTCGAATCTGCAAAGACAGTAAAGTTAGTTCTCTGCTGTTTGGAATGTCTGATAGTGTGCCTACTTCAAGACGGCCTCGTACAGCTGCAGCTGATCAAGCAGATCGAGATCTGTGCCCGGCTTGGACATGTAGCGCTGTATAACCGTTTCCATGCCCTGCTGCTCCAGCAGATCGCTTTCATCATAGAAGCTATCCTGATCCGTAAGACCCGCCAGCGTTTTATTGATCAGCGATGTGGCATAGATCACCAGCTCCGCATCTGCATTGTCGTAGTCCTTAAGCAGTCTTTAACACAAGAAGATGTTCGAGTGATCAATTGAAAACAGGCAACGATTGGTGCTTTGTCTTACCTCATAATATTGGCCCAGGGCAGTGTGCCTTGGGCTGCGTCGACCGCATGAATGGCGCTCACCAGCACATAACAATTGGACTCGGCATATTCCACAAAAACGAGCAGCAGCTTGAGCGCCGTCTTGACCACCGATCGGTAATTGGAGGCGATCAATGAGTACAGCCACTCCATGGTGGGCTGGTGCTTCATGACGCCATTCATGCCATCCACATAGAGCATGACCTGATGCGTTCAATGAATAGATATTAAAGACATGATTAGCTGGGACCTGTGAGCCGTTGATCGCTGTGCAGCGGACACTTACCTGGCCGAGAGCACGCAGTATATAGTTCTGATAGTTCTGGTCGGCGCAATTGCCCACGCGCACAAGGCAATTGAGACCGCCCAGTGCGACGAAAGCGTGCACCAGATCCTTATCCTCCTGGAACACCTGCTTGAGGGAGAAGAGCGCGCGGCGCAGATCGCTGCCCTCCGATGAGAGTAGTTTCTCTGCAAGTCAACGGGTACAATGAGGCGTATGCGCAACGTCTCTTAACTTAGTCTTTGGACTCTGGCACTTACCTATTATGGCATGAACGCGTACGCTCAGCTGTGTGCGAACGACCAGAGAGTTTTTGCGACTGGGCGGAAGAAGAGGCAGATAGAGAGAAGTAGAGAGAGGAAGAAATGATATTAATTTTGTATGTAATTTCATTAGCAATGGCAGCAAAACAAAGGCTAAAACTAAGAGTAAAAAAAAAGGAACGAACGAAGGCACAATGGGTTGCCGTGTGGTTCATTGACCAGTTAAGAACATTGATTACCCGCTGTTTGCTGCCCAGTTGTTGGCCATAATAAAAGTAATAACAAACGACGCAGATAATTGAAAATGGACTATGAAGCATCTGAGCGACTGTAGCCGCCAATAAGTCGAGCCAAGAATTCATAATGAAATGTGGTCTCAGCTGTGCTCAACTCAACTCCCAATTCGACTCAAAGTGCACACGGCCAGGCCACACCTGTGTTAGTGTTTATATTTGTGTGTGTTGACTGCTGCTCAAATGTGTCTGTGGCTCAGTTGCAGATTGACAACCCAACCAGCCAACGAGCCAACCAGCCAACCAGCCAACGAGCCATCGACCCATGCGAGCCGCGTGCCTGCCTTGTGGAATTTTGATGCGAACTGAAGCGAATGATTTGCATGCGAGCGCGCTTCCATGACTAATACGATAAGCATGATTAGTGACCGGACCCAGCCAGACCAGACCAGACCCGAGACCCGAGAGCAGACCCAGCCCGCCTAGAACACTCATTGGCGCCAGTAACTGGAGTGCACAACGCCTAACTGCCAACTGGCAACAATTTGCACAGACGCGGCGACATATGCATTATAATTTTATAATGGTCCGAGGATCGCATCAGCTGCCGCAGCTGAGTGCAGCTAGTGAAAGTCAGAAATAGACACGACACACCACATAGTAGCTACCCTTCCCCCTCCTAGCCCCCTGACAGGTTCTATTAATCCCATTATTTGAGCACTGCCTGACTTGGCATCACGGCTGAGGAGCAGGCCTCCAGCTACTGAGCTTGGCCCTTGGCCTGACGCGTACGTCAGTTGCTTCGGATGCGATCTTGTGCCTGACATCACGTTCCTTGGTCAAACGATAAGAAACTGAGATGTGCTCTAACAAATAGTCAAGGCATATACGAATCTAGCTGCTGCAAAGCTTTCGATCATTGTGGCTATCGATAAGTTTGCTAAAAATAAATGTACTCAAAAGAATGCTTAAAGTGAATTCTCGATAGTTTTCACAATCGATAGCTTCGATAGCGAATCGATTTGTTATTTAAGCATTGTAATCGATTATAATCGAGTAAGATATTTTGCATGAAAACAAACCGATTTATGTGATATCCTAGACAATTTATCGGAAGCGATTTTTCAATAATTTTCGTAATCGATATCTTCGATAGTTAATGATTGTTGCTTTCAGCATTGTAATCGATAATATCACAGCAATTATATATGCATATATTAAATGGGGACTTTATGATTTTTGTTATATTCCTAACAATTTAACGGATGTTACTTTCCGTTAGTCTGCGCAATCGATAACTCTGACAGTTGATCGATTGATTATGAATAATGAATAATAATAGTCAATAGTGTAATCCACACTTTTCCCGTATTCATGCATTAAATGAAAACTATCTAATTTCCGTTATATTCTTGAATTTCCCGTTTCCATTAATCTTACACGAACTCTTGTTCTGTTCCTCACACAGTTCGCCAGCACTTCCATTTTTCAATTCACTCTCAGGCATTTGCACTCATTCTAATGCTTGTATATGACATAATAAACCAAGCTTGTATGTTGTGAATGGCTTATAATCAGTTAAGAGTGTGTCTGCTGCCCACTTGGCTGCCACCAGCCGCCTCTTGACGTTCTCCTCCGCATGCCAAAGAAATCATGCGGCGCATACCAAAGTGACTGCTAGACCAAGAATCGGGCCCGATCTCAGTTATGAGTTGTTCGGAATTAAAAAGATATATATATAACGACGCCAAAATGCCATTGCCTACGTTTATACTCGAAGCCTTTGTGCCGCTGCTGCAAATGCAAATGAGGCGCAAGTTGCAGCCAAAAAATCGCAACAAGTTGCACGTACGAAACGACAAACGACAACGATGCCGCGGAGGCATGCAAATGCCTGACGTCTGGCCCAGTGAGTAGCAACTGCCAGTTGGCAGGCAATTGGCAGTCAGGTAGCCAGAGCCAGTCTGTCAGCCAGGTAGTCAGAGCCGGCGCAGTTTCCTGTGCCACAGATAGCGACATTTTTTATGGCCAGAGCCTGACAGCCGCTACGCCAATATCTTTATTAGCGAATGGAGCAGGCGGCCGCCTAGGTGTGCGAGTGTACGAGTGTGTGTGTGTGTGTGTGTGGTGAAAGGCTAACAGCCGCAGCCACCCACGAGCAGCTGCCCCAGAAACCCAGAGCTGGCTGTCCAGCCTGCGCAACGGAGCCTGCGGACTTTCCCGCAAAAATGGGTTCAAGGTAAGCGCGTGCCACAAAAGTGAAAATCGCTGACAACAATTTTTCGCACAGTTTAGTTAATAAATCATTGCGGCTTTTCCAATTAAACTGTGTGGGAGACTTTTCCGCGCAGCTGGATAAGAAAACATAACCAAACACTTATGTATTTGTGTGTGGGCAGCTCTCATTAGGAGTTGTGTGGGAGCGTCTGGTGTGGCATGTGGCACTTACCTGGCTTGAAGGCCCTCGATTTCCTCTGTCTGTTCGGCCAGCGATGACTCCAGATCCAGATAGGCGCCAAAGTCGCCATCCTTGTACACCTGAATAGCTGCGTCATCGATCTGCAAGTGAGCAAGAGCAGAAGCAATTATAATTAAAGCCAAAGTCAAAGTCAGCGGCAGAGATAGAGGCGGCGGCACAGTCAATGCGAAAAGTAAGCGACTACCGCGCTACGCAGTAAAAGTTGTTTATGGCCGGACAAAAAAGAGAAAGAGATGCAGATGCCAACGACCATAGAACATTTTTGTGAGTGACGGGCTGCATTGGTTGAAAGTCGGCAGACGATTTCGTTTAGGCGTGCAACGAGGACGCCAACAGCAGTCGCTCTTGCCACTTGCCACAAAGAAGATGCTGAAGCTGATGTTGTTGCTGCTGATGATGACGTCGCCTTCATTGGCCTCGTCTGCTGCTGCGTTTGCTGCTGCTGGTCACCTACTTTTCTCGGAGCTGCGCTTTCAGTTTTCAAGCCGCTGATTGCCATGGCCAAGCGCTTGATTGATCAAATCGTGCGAGCTGCAGCTCAGCTGCGACTTAGTTGGGTTCAGCTCCTGCTGCGTGCACAAATGCGCTGATTGACGCAGATCCACTCCGACTGCTGCCCCTGCCGCAGTCGCTGTCTGCTGCTCTTTCAGCCCGTTTTTATTGGCGCATTGAAAGTAATTATTTGTGCATTTACAGAACAATTACCGGACAACATGAAATTATGTGTGTCGACGCTTGCTTAATGTGTGAAAAAAAAAAATCCAACTCAGCTGCAGCAGCTAAAGAAATCTTGGCCATCTCCCATCCGGGTAAAGATTACACATACGCCCGTTTCGGGAAGGAAGGGGGCAGGCTTGGTAACGCCCAGTCGAAAGGGAATTAGCTGCAGCAGAGCGCAGTTGGAGCTCGCTGCTCCTAACTCTTTGTGGTGCAATTTGGACACACCCCCAAACACAACAACAACAACAACAACAACAAAAACAAGAACAACGGCAATGCGATTCATACCTAAATCGCGTGCCCCAAGGTTCTTGTCTTTCATAACTTTTGACGCTGCACCCAGAGGCCATTTGGTAAATTAAAAGCTCGCCAGGGACGTTGCCAGCCAATGGCCAATGACTTTTTAGGGCGAGCCCAATAGAATAGAAATATTTTCAACATATGCAGCAGTAAGTAAATGAAAATTTACCAAACCTTCATCAAAATAATGGCTATTATATCCATTAGGACGAGGATGACAGAACTACGTTTACTCTATTAGGTATAGCATTGAATTCATGAGAATTGGATAGAAGTGCACAACAATATGTGTTTAAGCAGTTTCTTAGCTCTAAGTATGCTTTACAGTCTAGTATGGAACTGTCTATGTAATATAGTATAAAATGAAATCATGAGAATCGCATAGTAGGGCAACATCTTAGCTGTTTTATAGATTCGAAGTATAATATAGTACACTATAGCATAGAATAGTATGGTATTTATTAGATTATTTTAAACAGTGAATTCGTGAGAATCGCATAGAACGGCGACATTTAGAAATACGATATTTGTCAATTAAATGTTAATGTATAGTCACTAAGATATAGCATTGTATAGAATAAAAGAAAGAAGTTATCTTTGGGCACTGAACATTCTTATGGAACTGATATTCTACATAAAAGTCAACAAAGTTGTTGAGATCAAACGATAGTAATCTTAATTGTTTAAATACTCAAATTTCCTGTTGACGAATAAAAACAATAAATATGCACTTTTGTTCCGCGTAATTTAGTCACAACTTCTACCGAAAGCTAGCTACTTATTAAGATGACTCGCCCAGTGCCGGTAGACAAAATGATCCCAAAATGATTGACTGGCGCAAAAGTGGAACCAAGCCGTCTGGCTGAAGTCACAGCTGCTTATCACTCGAGTAGCTGAGTATTGCTTTTCCTGGGTATGAAATGAGCAAATGTTGTTTCTTATAGCAAATGACGACAGCTACATATCTGCGGAACCAAACTTCCTGCATGTTGATTCGGTCGCACATAAAGAAAACTTTCTAGAGCAATGCGAAAATATGTATATATATATTGACATAACTATTTTGGCATTGTTAGAGCGTGATATTTATTGAAATGTGTCGAATTCGTGAAATAGTGCCTTTAATATGTATGCCTATAAAGTTTGTATATGATTTTATATAAGCCAATCTGACAATTAAAGGCAAAGCAAGTGTTTGCATACTAAAGAAATCGTAAATAACCTCAGGCACGGCCAGTTGTTGGCCATATGCAAGATTAGTTTTGGCCAAAAACTATATCGACTCGTTTGTAATTTTATTTGATTAATATTTTATTTTCGTTTTTTACATGCGAACACACATTCATTCACAGCCCTATGCAAATTTTGTACAATTTTTTATAGAGGCGGCTTCAAAGTTTTTTTTGCTGTTGATTTTTTGAGTGAAGCATGACAAGATTTTTAATCAAATTGAATTTCGCATATGGCTTTGGTTCATTTTTATGTTTTGCTGGACACTCGAGCGAGTGCCAAACACATAAAAAGCCGGCTATTGACACAGTTAAGGCAACGAGCATAATAATCTGGTTGGGCTGAAAATGTGTGTGCTGAAAATATACTCGGGCAAATAAATAATATTTATTTTCGGCTGATAATAAAATACGAAGAAAATGTGTAATAAAAGGCAGTGAAAACCAATTAAAAGCCATTTGGGAAATCAAATTAAGTGCAGAAAGTATTTATGTTTAAAAATAAAACCAATTGGCAGCTAATCAAAATAAAAACTAATCAAGTTGTGGCTAATAAGCTAAGCTATTTGGTTTTACAATCAATTAAATTGACTGGCGATTGAATTTGAGAGTTCGCTTTGGTTGAAGAATTCGCTTTTAGCAAATTGATTGCAGGCACTTGAATGTTTTTATGCAAAATTCTCCGGCTCGTGAGCTTGATGAATGGCTCACACTTTTGCTTTCCAATCAATGCCGCTGCCTGCGGGTTAATTGACCCCAGGCTGACCGCAAAAAGCCAGGCATGCTAATTGAAATTGGAAACCTTCCTCAACAAAGCAGCGCTACTTCAAAAGTTTCCCGAGTTCAAGACGTTGAGTCAACAGAAACTATGCAAATTATTTGGGCAAACAGCAAAGAGATGCGTAAGCCAACGGCGCGTATGCTTTATATTTAGGCCATATAAATGCTGGTCTATAGCAGGGTCTTTGTGGCATTTCACAATTGCAGGCAATACAAAATCGGTAATTGAATTATTTGTCGATTTGTTGAACGTGTGAATGACATATGTAAATGACGCAAAGACCAAAATTTAAACATTTTCCAAGCGATTTTCCTTTGTGCCCGCGCACTGGGCCGCAGACAAATGTTCGTTTGTGCCTTTATTTATGTGTAAAATATTTGATTTGAATTTATTTTGTATTTATCTAGCTATTTTTGGGCGCACACTTTATACGCTTATCTGGACACAGCGATTCGCATTGTTGTTGTTGTTGTTGTTGTGGATCTGTGCGAGGTGACGTGCAAAAAACCACAGCAAAAACAACAACAACAACAACGGCAATTGGCCAGAAATAAAATCAAATCAAAATAAACAAAATAAATAAAACAAGAAATAAGCGCTGCGTCGATTGACCGCAACGAAAAAGTCATTATTTATAGGTGTAGTTTATAGAATTGAGAGCTGTTCATGACATCATCGAAGATTAGAAATCAGCATTAGAGGCGAAAATTTATGAATCCATTGTAATGCGCTAAATTTAACAAGTTGCAACCGAGTCACCCCCACCTCCTCCCTCTGCTCCAGCTCAGTCCCTGTCCACGTCTCCATATGGACTGCGGTGCTGCTGCTCGCTGGGCTGACTAATTGGACAAATGGCATTCACAGCTGCCGCGCCTGCCACATAAATCTGACTACGACAACATCCTGAGCCAAGACAGGGAAAACGAAATAAAAAAAAAAAAATAGGTAGGCAAACGAGAACGTTGCATTTCCTTTTGCGATTTGCTCATTAGAATTTATTGCTGCCGCTTGTCAAGATTTACGTATCCTTGCGCGGAGCGAGCTCCAGCTCCAGATGACAGATGACAGGCAATGGGGGCCGCTTGCCTGGCCGGGTTGCATGCAACATGGTGTGGAGCGCACGTTGCAAGCTTCGGCTGGACTCTGTTCGCTGGCTTTTGCTTTTTGCAAATTAGTCAAAGTCAGAGAGATCGGCGGTACGGAACAATGGCTGACTTAGATAATTGCTGGCCAAGGCTTTCACAATGCCAATGAAAAGTGCTGTAAGTTGTTTTTGCGCTGCGCTGGCTGTGCCCCCTCCCAACTTCCAACTTCCTATTAGTTGCAACAGATTGTGCGATAGCAATAAGTTAGCCGCAGGCCCACAGCCGGCTGCATCATGGCTGCATCTCCCAAGCCATTGTCTTGCGTTTGCCCTCACTCACAGCGCCTGAACCTGGAGCCTAAGCTGTGTTAGGCTCAGCTGCCCGGCATTGCAATGCATCATTTGTTAAATATTAGCAACAATAAAATATAATAACTGGCAGCCAGAACAACTGAGCGTCAGTCACTAAACGCTCTGGTGCGCAAAGAGCATGCCCTGTACGTCAAACTAACTGCGGAAATGTGTTGTCAAAAGTACATATATTTGGGACGCAGAATCTAGAGATCAAAACATGCTCAAAAAGGTATCGTTTGTGCAAATCGCTTCAGTTTCGACAGAGTTACGAAAGTTTGCAATCTAGTAGGGGTAGGACTTGGGATGTCTTAAGACAAAATATTTGACATGAGCTTTGACAAAAAGAATATGGCTTTATAATTCTAATGTAGAATTGATCTTGAGGTCAAACCGAAAATCTACCCTTTATGAAAATCGGATCAGTTAAATGCAGAATTTACTTCTATAAGAATCAGTTTCAATTTTGACAAAGTTCTAAGAGCTTGATATCTAGGAAAGGTATGAATTATGGACTTGGCTTGTCTTTAACAAGAAAGAAGTTTTATTTTGATATTTAAAAAGTACTATATCTCATGAAAATGTGCGCAGATTTCATCAACTTGATAGTAATAA